GTATCTGAAAGTACACATAGATTATTGGTTCGTTAGCTTCTATTCTCGAGTGTTGCGGAATAGTCGATCGTGAGTTTTATCCTGGGATTCTGATTGCATCAAAACCGTCACACTACGGGCAATTAAAAAATTTAGGAAAGAGTGTCTCGCCTCCACACAAACCGTTATTTCATTCATCATAATTTGGTATCGATCAAAACTATTTTGTAATTGTTTTTTTATCATTAATTTAAACAATATTCAGTTTTGCCGTACCATAGAAATTGTGTTCCTACCGTTATTGGAATCTTGGTGAGTATCTTCTCACCTACTAGTTCCGGTGGAAAATTTTGCATCGTCGTCGTCATTTGTCCAACTTGGAAACAGATGATACGCAATACAAATAATTAGCGTTTTCTCTCGTATGTATATGTACTCTGTTTTTTTATTGCTTTTCCTTACGTGGAAAATATGCTCTATTGATTTTCCTTACGTAGAAAATATATTCAATTTAAGAAAATCAAAGTCCTTCCATTTTTGTGTTTTTTACAAAGTGAAAAAAGGTATCTTGTAAACAGAGAGAATATTATACCTTTTTTTTTTTTTGATCAACAGAGAATATTATACTTTTTAAAGTCTTTATTAACGAACTAGTACACTACAAAGTACAAACGAATCAAAAGAATTTTGTATAACAAAAAAAGAAAAAAGTAGATTTTTGTTTTTCTATTATCTCTCTACGCAGCTAAGCACTCTTTAGGAAGACCTTGAGGGAATCTCTTTGAATCGGTACAATAGTTATAGATCATGTAGTTTCTCTGCACCCATCTCATCCTTTGTTGAGCCGTTGAGTCAAGCTCTTGGGACAACCACGAGCCAGTGGTTCCCTTTTTTGAGCCATTAGGACAAGAAGACTTGCCGTTAGACCAAACACAAGCTTCTTGGTTGAAACCACGGTACGAAGCAGTGAAAGGAGCTTTAGACCAATCTGTTTTGACCAAACCGCCTCTGGTTGCCCAATCATCTGCGTTCCAGAGACTAGAGTACATCCTCATTGGTCGGTCCTTAGGAAACAGAGTGCCAATAGATTCCATGTTCTTGAATTCTCTAATGGGAGTTCCATCGACCGTGAAAATGATTCTTTGTGGGTTCCATAGAATCGTGTAAGTGTGGAAATCAGCAGTTGGGTCGAACCAGAGTTTGAATTGTTGTTCTTTGTCTCCTTTGCCTTGTGTGTAGACATTAGTGTGAAGTGTGTAAGGCTCTCCACTTGAATTCCCTAGAAACTCGAAATCAATCTCGTCCCATGTTGTTCCAGGTGATTTCAACTGCAGTAATCAAATAATCAGAAACAAGAACTTACGAATGTAACAAAAGAACCAAAATTGAGATTTAAAACTTACGTAGAGTGTGGTGACTGTTCCTGCGGAGTTTCCGGGTACGAGCTTCATTTGCATGCCGATCTTACCAAACAAGTACTCGTTTTTGGATTGGAATCCAGAGCCAGAGGATTTGTCAAGAGATAAAGTGAGAAGCTCTCCATTGTTCTTGATCTGTCCACGACCATCTCCCCAAGTGATGTCAACGTCTCTTTGGAAATAAGCTGAAACAGAGGAGATGGTAATAAGAGAAAGAAGCAGAGGAAGGAAGTAACTGATCGCCATTTTGAGATTTTTGAATAGTGGATTTCTTGTATTGAGTTAATGGTTTTGTGGTTTTATGGGTTTAGGGAAGAATGTG